TTAAAACGACTCGAAATGACGCGAAGTAATCAATTTCAATTTTATTCTCGTCTTTGTTTTGTCCCTTTGTTTGGACCATTGATTTGTTTTTATCAACGTTGATCATTACAACAAATAAGCTATAATTGAAAACATTTGATAAAAATGTCATTCTTTTTTATTTTATTCAATAAAAAAATCTATTAAAAAAGAAATCGTAATAAAGGTTTTTTATCTATTCGATGTGATTATTATTGCACAAATAGAATCTATTCGTCAATGGTGAAAATCAAGACAAATCTATAGAAACTATCGATTTGAAAGTCTATCAGATGATCAATTTCTGCTTCTCAGAAACTCATAATAAAAAATCAATGATAAGTACTTCACGGAACGAAACTTTAAATCGGTGTTTTAAGTAACAGGAGTCGAAAATTTAATTTTAATTAAGAAAGAATATGGAAATGAGGTACATATCTTTCTTAGATTTAGGTTACACTAGGTCAGAAAATTCTTCTAGCTATAATATGGTGTCTTCTGTGAATACGGTAAATACCTGAATTGAGCATCAATATAGGAGGTACGAAAGATAATAGTATGTATTCTGTCACATCTCTAATATACCCCACAATAAATACAGTGATATATGCAAAGCATCGTTGGGAGATTTGAATCATTTCACGTAAAATAAACAACAACTAGATTCAAAAGAATCTCATGTGTACGTTTGCATATATTTTCCTCTTAGTTTACGGAAAAACACTTTATTGGAATTCTTTCTATTATGACAATGCCTCTACGGCATCACACTAGGTTTGACTGCCGCCGATATCACATACAAGACATAGCTATTATTGTAGTGAGAATGTCAAAGAAACTGAGAGGTACAAAGATGATGTGATTATAACAAACTACTTTGAAGTAATGGTTTGCTTGATATTAAAAAGGCTAATCATTTCTAAAAACTTTATTCCGTAAAGTTCACTGAAAAGATGCCTCATTTTAATCTGTTCAAATCACTGTGTTAAAAAACTTGATTTCAGTCGTATGTTTTATCTTCGGAGATCTAAAACTATGCGCACAATCCGGAAAATTGCCATTTTTTTAATATTGGGCTTATTTTTATTTAAGATTAAGAACAAAATCGAAAACTCTCTTAAAAAAACTTGTAAACTTGGATGTAACACAAGATTATTTTGATGATGTGGATTTTCTGTCACATATACGTATTTCTTATACTAGTACCTATTTGATCTTTCAGAGAAAGCCTATAACAACATATATTCTACATGGAAATTCACTATCAGAAACACTCATACAAAAAACAACCATGTCTAAATAGCCTTGATATAAAAATAAATTTGCTAACTCAACTCGAAAATCAAGACACTTCATTTCTGTATCTTTTTCGGGATAAAATGATTTTCCTAAACTGAATCTAATGACAAACTTGAGATTTTCTTCCTCCAATGGAAGTTTCAGCAGTGTAATTTCACTACAATATCATGGACATTAAGTGTGCATCAGTCAAGTGATATTCGTTTGGATGAAATTTTCATTTTATAAGGATGTTGAGGAATTGAAAGTTACGATGACCTCGATATTTGAATTTTTTTATGAAGGATTTTTAACGGAACAGGCTTGATGTGGATTGCAGTGTATTTTATAAATACACGAAGATCAAGCACTAATTGCACTGTTACCAATTACTCATCTCGAAAGATAAAGTCTCTGTAACCACAGTTATACTTGCAGACCAATGATGAGTTGAAGCTGTCGTTATCATGATTTCGACGATGCTCAGAACATTTCATCAGATGATTTGGTTTTTAGATACTTTTTCATTCGAAAAGAAAACTGTTTATTTTCCTCAAGATATTGAGCTTCGAAAAGGATCATGACCGGTTCCTTGAAGAAGTGACTGAAATCTATGCGGTTCCCGTCCTCACGTGCGCGCGTAGTTAGATCTAGAAAAAAAAGAGAAATTTCGTCAAAGTATTTCGAGTAGGTAGTTGTTCTATTTTGCCACGAATTCTTGAGGGTGTAGATGAGAGCTGTTTCTAAAAACTCGCCCTCTTCTTCACTCTCAAGAGAGAAGATTCTATCTCATAAGGGAAGTGAATAATGTCAAAATTGTATCATTTTCATAGGTCACTGTAAAGCAAAAAGTGATATCAAATATCGGTGTTAAAGTACAACTTCTTATCTGTCAGATCAGTTCGTGCGTAAAATATTGAATTTCTCTATTGCATAGATTGAGTCATTGATTAGATTAAAAGTGCGTCATGAAAAAAGAGGAAGAAGTTGACATATAAATTCGAAGGAGTAATAAGCGAGAAGACACAGTAAAACCAATGTCGTCGTCGTCGTTCTTTCTTCGTTTCGTACTTCTTTTTGCTATTGCCATTAACACGTTCGCTGCACCAGTAGCACGGCAACGTCGTCAATTTAATGATTTCATGAACAATCTAGGTTTTGGTCGACAAGGTACAGCAGCATTTAATGGAGCGTGGCAGGCTGCTCAAACAGGAAAGGTATTTCTATTGAATAGTGTGGTAGAGATACAAATTTAACAACTAAGGATTTAAACTTTCTCACTGGATATTTCGCTGTATTTATTCAATCTTGTAAAACAAATTCCACATGTCTCTTGCTATCTTTTTTAGCATGATAATCATGTGTATTCATTTTGAAAAATGAAAATATAAGTCTTGCAACATAATTTTTTTGTATTTTGGTGTTAATTTGTCTAACGAGATTGTATTGAAAGATCAAATTATTCATTTTAATAATCTAAACTAGCTGATATTTCCGATTCATTTATTGTTAACATTTATATTATCTATTTTCCATTGGAAAAAATCACTAAGATGCTTTTATGATTATATAGGCTAACAGTGACTTTAGTGTCGATCGTATTCCTCCCCGTAATCTGGATAATTTTCACTTGGGTGGTCAAGCGAGCGGGGGTATACCTTTAATTTACAATGGACCTAAAAATCCGTCGCTTGGTCTTGGTGGTGCAATATCGGGTGCCGTCGGTGTTAATGGAGTAAGTTGCTTAATAGACTATAGCTTAGATTACATAAGCATTTTTCAGGGCATCGGATACCGACAAGGACCTGATTTTGGACTTGGCGCGGGATTCAAATATCCTCTTAGCTCAAATGGCGCATATTTGGGCTTAGGTGGCGGTGCTTCATTCGTAAGAACATCTCTCATTCCTATGCTTTTTCTCATGATGTTTTTCTATTCATTGTGTAGGGATCGAGTTATTCAAAGCCTAACTGGGGAGTTGGTGCTACGATCAATATTCCATTTGGTCGCAAGAAATAGATAGTTTTTTCTTCTTTCTTACTTGCTGATTTTGATTACTTCTTTATTATTGTCAATTGTACCTAAAAATTTGCAATAAAAAGATATTATTATCATTTATTATTCAGAGTATCTCGCTTAGCAGTGAAAAATTTCCATTATTTAATTGTACGATATTTTTATTGAAAAATTTCATATTGCTTTGGATTTTCTTTGCTCTGATAACGGGTATCTTTTTTCAACAGCTTATTCTTTTAGAAATATCGGCGTTACTATGATCATCAGAAGAAACGTTCAAACTCATTTTTGCAAGGACTTTTTTCTTTCCTTTCATTGCTTCACCTAGTGTCCTTTTTCTCTTGTCGTTTCACATAAGTTGATTTGACTTAGTTTTTAGAATAGAAGAGCGATAGAGTTCAAAAAAAAACATAAGGATTTAATTAGAAGAGAGATAAAAAAGTGTAAGAATAATCATCGAACAGAAAAGAAAAGAGAAAGTACGCTAATCAGAAATGGAGATGGGAGAAAATATCTTCTTACATAATCTTTCGACCTTTATACGTGATTAGTTGTAATCGTATTTTGGTAGTTACTGTGTCATTGAACAGTTTGTATCACATTTGATGATCGAAAAGCGCATAGGTTTTCCTGTACAAATGGTTATATATGCATTCAGGTTTTGATTCTGCCACTGATCAAATTATCATCCGGTATGAGAATCATCTTATCAGTTTTGCAGGTCTAACTATTGAATTTCATTTTTTTTCACCGAAGTTCCTAATCATGATGAGTAATAAAAATAATGAAATGATTTTCATTCTAGCATCATTAAGTAACATTTTAATTTAAAAATAGATACTCGATCTTTTCTTGTTGTTATTTATATTTTGATACCGTCACCCACTTCCTATTTCAGTTCGGTGTTGTGTTGATCAAAAACAATTGACAATGATAACTCTATTATACACATGATGTGATATGTCGTCGATCAACGATACGGTCACCACTTTCTCACTCGCTGTTCTTTCTCAGCAACTCAATATTGCACTAGCTTTTATTATAATAATCAGTGATCTTTTTGGAAATCTATTGAATATTATTCTCTTTCTTAATTTGGGCACCTTCAAGACTAATGCTTGTTCATTCTATATACTCACAAAATTTTTCTTTAATTTAGTATCACTTCTTGTTGGTGTTGGTACACGTATTCTTACCCAAGGATTTCGTATTGATTTTACTTCATCCAATAAACTATGGTGCAAATTTCGAATTCCTCTTCTTGACATTGCCACTCTTTGTTCTTCCAGTTGCTTATGTTTTCAATCATTGGATGCCTTCTTTGCTACATCTCCCTCGGTTTCTTGGCGACGAAAAAGTAATGTTAAAATAGCCCGATATCTAGTGACTATATTTCTATGCATGTGAATTCTACTCGATTTACCCTATTTTTTTCTTCAAGACTTACTTTTGAATGTGCAATCAGGAACATATGCATGCGTTACTACTAATGGAAGCTATGCACTTTTTCGCAGTTATTTTATTGTTGTTGAACTTTATCTTGCTATTGCTGTTTTGGTAATTAGCATATTTGATTCCCTAACCTATCGACAATTACAAAAGTTAACTTCATACGAACGAAGTCCACTTTCTGCATTTACTAGACAAATGACACGAATGGTTTTATGTCAAATCATCATCGTATTGATCTTCGTTATCCCAAATGCTCTTGTAACAATATATTTTGTTACTACGGCTAGTGTAAGCAAGAATGCCTACCGTGTAGCACAAGAAGGTGTATTCAAGTGGTTTTCAATATTTATTTATGGCTATGGTGCACTTCCTGTAAAAAAAAGACTTATTTTATGCACCAACTTTATTGAGTAGATGTTGCTTCTCTCTTTTCAGAGTTCATTCTACTGCTACTATATAGCTTCCATGAACAAGTACAAAGCATTTTTCCTTTAGTTTTACTGAATCAGAGAGGCAACCAAGTAGCTTCCAGGTAGAAAATACGAAGTTCTTTGCCTACTACACAACAAAAAATACGACAACAATAGAGATGAAATGCTTGTTTGTTTTATTTTTCATCTCTCAACCGAAAAACGCACAAGTATAAAAATTTACTAGAATTAATTATCATAGTTAAAACTACATAGCTTTTAAAGTCAGCATTGTTTTGGAACAGTTACAATCTTTTGTTTTTCAAAACTCACGTATATTTTCGAAGAAAATAGTGAGTGTACGTTTTAAATTAATGTTGTATCTCTTCCATCCAACTCGGTTAAAGATATTAGCAACCGAGAAAAGTTTAATTGAATACAATCAGTAATATGACGTTGATTGTTTCAAATAATTTTAACTTTTGATGCTGGTGTAGATAAAAATTTATATTTCAGACATCCACAATGATGAGGAGTAATGCATTAGTGTGCCATAGCTATTATAGATATTTCTGCTGTAGATTTGGTGAATATGAATAATCAGTTAATTTTGTGGAACTCACATATATTTTCGAAGAAAAATGTGAGTGTAAGTTTTAAGATGAGGTTTTGACTGCTCCTCCTTTACAGACAACCCGCATTAAAGACAAGCCACTCTCCATTACAGACCATAGCAACGCAGGCCTCAGTTACAAACACCCCCCCCCCCCCCCCCTCCCCCAATTACAGACTTCAGCATCAGAATAAAAAAAGGTGTTCAATATTGAAAATTGTTTTAACAACATACACCATGCTACAAATTCAAAAAAATAATGCAGATTACGAAGAGATGTGAGTTCCACATTTCAGTCCGATAGTACTGCACTAATAAGCTTCACTACTCAATTCAATAGCTTGAATAAGACGATCGGTTATCTTGAAAAAGAACTATAGTTCAAGAGAGAGATTTTTCACTTGATATATTCTGTATTAGTATAATACGGGTAAAGAGCATACGTGAGTTCTACGTTTTTTTCCATAAAGGAGCGGCGCTAATAAGCTTTTTTTATACTTTCTCCTTTTCCTAGGAGTATTGTATTAATAAAAGATTTACAAATACAAAAGAAATACATGAAACCTTTCTTTCTCTTAACTGTATTGATTAAAAAAAATAGGTCAATACATGTTTTTCCTGTTTCTTCTTGGCGTACGGCTGACGACGAGACTGTGGATGTCCGTATGCGTGAGAGTTTGGCTTGAGGTATAGATGAGAAACTATTGATACTCACATGCGATGCTGTACAATATGAGTGGGTGTGGGGTATGTGGGTGGGGGTGGTTGTGTGAGTGTAGATGTGGATGTGGGTATCTTCTCTTTATTCACATCCCACACCATAACCACACCCACACCCTCTTTTTTCGGTCGGAAACTTGTCGTTGGTGAAGTCCTCTTTTGGTCTCACTAGCGATTGGTTGAATGTGAAAGAATTCTTAACGGTCCTTCTCTGACGATTTCGTTGAGTGTTTTCATCTTTGTGTTCATTCATTTTCAATTAAGTCCTTGAACAAAATGTAATGTCTTTCTATATTCAATCTTTTAGATTGACTCTTAGAAATTTTTTTTTCTAGTGATGATTTGTATTAATATTGAGTCACTGCTGATGGAAGAACGTCTATGAAAATAACACAAACAAAGTTTTTTTTTTGGTGTGGGTTGGGGGGGGGGTGAGTCTTCTATTGATCCACACCCACACCCCACACCCTGTTTCCTACTAGATTTTCACATGATTTACAAATAATAAATAAATTTTTAACTAACTGGAAACTTAAGCACGATTAGAAAACTTAAAGCTATAATGATATTTAGCTGTTAACTTCGCTATCAAAGTGAATATTAGCTAAATTTTTTTTCTATTTGCTTCATTAAATAGAATGTTTTTTCTTATTGCAGTTGAAGATTTGATTGTAATTATGACATTTCATTGATCTATAACGCTTGTGATTAAGGTAATTATTCTTTTGGAAAATCTAACTATTTAGATCAATAAGAAAATAATGTTGTGTCATAAGAATAAAGCCTCGAAAAATTTATTTAAAAAGACAACTGTACACATAAGCCCTATTATGCTAGTATCATTCTATGAAGATATTTAGTTAGATTTGGGAATGATGATATTGTTCTTTATTTGTCTAATTCTAATTTCAAACGTTTGAATATGCCAATTTATTAACATGTCTGATTATCTTATAATCATCGTTGAAGAATTGTTAGTCAATTGAATTATCTGTCGAATCATTTGGTAGGAAAAAAACAGGTTTATAATAATTAAAAACAAAACGAGAAATAAATTCATAATACTAATGATCTAGTAGTCTATATAGGTGTTATTACATATCATTTATAGATTATATTTGAAAAAGAAGTTAATTATATGTTCAATTTTATTTTAGAATAATTTTTAAAAATATTTGTCAATTGGTATAAATATATAATCTCTCAATGAATCTATTTATACTATTTTGATTGTAACAAACAAACAAACAAATAAATAATATAATATTAACTTGCACAACCGGCACTTAAAACTTACTAAAAACTGGTCCCATTATATATTCTGTTCTGACTAATAATCAATAAATTGATCCTTTTCCTTTATGATTGAGATAAACGTAGATCGTGAAAGGGAATCATATTGGAAATATCTACTAAATATAGTACTCATCATTTTGTAGATTCTAAATTTTAATGTCAGAAAATATATTGTTGAATAAACATCTATTGCAACTTACTACGTAGTTTAGATTTTCTATCTATGCAAGAACTGTGAGTTCTGAAAGAAATTTTTAAGTCAGACAGTCATAATCAAGGGAAATCTTGAGAGAGGCAATAGAAAACTGATGTTATTTTCTTTAGTTTTGATGTATCTATATAAAGAATGTTTGTCTTGTTGATTTCTCAAAATCATCAATCTTATTTTTTATGTATATTCAAACAATCATAGAAGTTATTAGAAAAATCGTTTGCTTTTGTTCGATTAACCAAATCCGAAGCAGAAGCAATACAAATTTTTATTTGAGACCAGTACTGAAGACGAAAAAAAGGATGGTCCCACCGATTTCCGGTTCAACTGTAAATGTAATATATTTGATTCGTGTTAAAACGGGGAATTATTGCCATTCTCTTTTGATTAATAGAAATAAATAAAATAAAAAGATTATTCTATTCAATCACTTATTCGAATTAAGAAAAAGTTAAATCTAAATCATAAGAAATGAACGCCCATCGAAAATGTAACTTAGGAGTACAGTTGATAGTTCATAGAATGAAAACGGTCTATAGAATCATAAAAATTTTCCAAATTCCAGATGTATCATTGGATGCCTCCACGGATACTCAACTATAAAAAGTAAAAGTTCTGACTAAGTTTATTTCGCCTATCAGAGTTTATGAAACCAACTTTGCTGATCATTTTGATAAAAAAAAAATTTTATTTGACAAATAAATATAAGTGTTAGGGTGCGGTTATTTACTTAACGAAGTGCCATACCCGTATCCATAATTTTTGGTACTCTTCTATACGAGATTTGAATAAAATGTTTTAGTTTTATATTAAAAAAATGTCATAAATACGTTAATCTTATATTTTTGATCATTGCTTTCATAAAAGAAAATTACTTCATTCGTTTCGTCGCGTTGATTTTCATCTAATTCGACATAAATTCGATGATATTCATCATAATTTAATAATATTCATGAGACAATATCATTCTAAAGTATTTTTCTTTGGAAACAAAAATTAAAAAAAAAAGAATAGAACTATCTACTTGAGAAATACATAAAGTATTGAGAATAA